CTTTTTTGCAAAATACAACTTTTTCTTACAAGTAAGAACAATTCAGGGTATTTTTTTCTATTAACTATTTGTCAATTCACCAATAAAACTTCAGTATGTTATCTTTATCATGAGTCAGCTGATATTTTATCTAAAACAATAGAATATGAAACGATAGTTAGCATCATGGAAGTATACACACCATCCAGAAATTAGAAATACAAGGAAATCAAGTGGGATTCAGTTTTTGGAGTACTCACATAGGAATTGTACCAGCTAGTCGATATAATCCATCAGTAGGGTTGTATATGATAGCGTTTCAAGCCATATCATTGTAGAATGCCTTGTATTTCCTTGAATTTGTTGAATGCTTCGAAGTCCAAAGAATTCAAGAAAACCAAGTAGAATTCAATGTTTGGCGCTCCTGAATTCGGATTGTATATGGCAATCTTTGTAACTTCTTCAATGGGATTGTATTACTATATTTCGAGCTACCTTCATTGTAGAATGCCTTGAATTCGCTTGAAGTCCTCGAATTTCATCTCAATTGCCGTTCAATTTCCAATTCCTGGATAGTAGATGTTGCTAATATGTGCTCCTTAGAAAGAAATGCTTCGGCTTAACTTTATACCAAATTTTTATTTTATCGTATTTTGAATTTATCTGAAACATTAAAATCAAGAAAAAAAAATATTAAAATTATATTTTCTGTTTTAGATTAATTTTTTTCTATTAAGTAATGAGCATTCTAGCTAGCCGATGTAGTGTTGGTAGTGCCATTAGCGGTAATGGCTCATCAGACAGTACTCTTCATTCACAATATAAAGTACTTACATTAACATTTAATCAAGATTGCTCATAAGATTTTCTATTGTTTATCAGCAAAAAAAACAAAAAACTGGATACTATACTAATTTTTTACAGATCATTGGCAATGAGTACACCAAATAGTTATTCTTTATATACTATTGGTCAAGAAAATAAAATTGATGAAATTCATGATTGTGGTGAGCATGACAAAATGAATTGATAAATATAATAGACCTCGTTAGATAGTGTGGATTGTTTAAAATATAGAGATAAGTTGAAAAGCAAAACACTTGAGCAAAATAGTTGATCATCAAATTTTTCAGTTCGATTCTCGCATTGAATTATAAATTAAAGAGAAAACCAATATAGCTAGTAACGGATTTTGCAAAAGTTCTTGGAAAAACGTCGCTTCATTTTTCATCGTATAAAAAATATTCTGGAAAAATCAAAAATATCTACTTAGGATCCACGTTGAAAGCTCTTTCTAACTGTATTTTCAAAAAAATCCTAGCATGTCCTGTGTTTGAGTATTGAGCAAATTTTTCAACAACACTAAAATGTGCTTTGTAAAAACAGCTCGAAATGACTGTAGCAGAAGGAAATAATTTCTAAATCTTTTTGAATTATCTTCTATCTGTTCAATGTATTTTCTTATTCTTTTTTTTTGTTAGATTTGCCGTTTAATTCTTCATAAACCTCTTGCTAAATAATACAAGATTATTGTCTATAACATGATGGCAAAAATTAAAAGAACAAAGAGATACGAAACATCAGTAAAATTTAGATATGAAAACAGGGATGGATCTATAGAAATCGTTTGGGTTTTTAATAGCGCCATTTTATGAAAACATACGAAATGGTGACAGCGAGAAATCCGGAATACTACCGATATAAATACGTCAAAGCCTTTATGTCGCTAATCTGAGGGTGTGGGTGTTGGCGAAGCGAATAGCGACGCTCACACCCGCACCCATACTCACATCCTACAACTACACCCATACCCAAACCTATTGTGACACAGAGAGAATCCTTTAACACTTATAGAAGCTTGTTGAAAATCTTAAGGAGCTCTAGGAAATACAAGAGAATCTCATGAATTCCAAGAGAATTCTATGGAATCCTAGGGAATTTGAAAGAATTCTAGAAAATCCATGCAATTCAGAGAAATCCAAAACTTCAGGATTCCACGTTTTTTTCCTTGGTATACAGTCTTTTTCATATTCAAACTGAGTTTTGAAAGCAAAACGACACCCTCTTTTTGTCAGTACGAAAAGTCTACTGAATACAACAATCTTTGCAAATACGATAGAGACGGGATCTTTACAATTCTATGATAATATATATCATCTATGTTTGCTCTATTCCAGTAGTGAGAGATTTCGGAAATCTTTAAAACTACGTGATGTTGTACGTATTTTTTTCTATCCAATGGCAGTAGATAGCTGAAAAACTA